TCTGCGTTCCAAAGGAAGTCACCTGGTCAAAGAGCATAATTTTTTAAAACATCGTAAATGAACTGCATGAGCTTATGTAAAGATGGGGGTGGGTGGGTGATTATTCAAAGAGGAATCTAGCAATCTTGAAAATGACTGCAGAATGCAATCCTGGTAGCTTTAAACTAGACAGCAGCATTTCAAGCCCCCCATAATGGTAGCAAATGCCACTACACACATTCTAACAAGGTTTATAGCCCTACTGTGTGGTCGGCTTCTGGTAAAAAGAAGTGATTCCCAAGCCCTAGTGCAGCCGCACTCAAGCTTCGGTACGATGACGAGCTACAGATTCCTGGGCCCCCATACAAACCTACCAAGTCAGAATCTTGGGTTGGGCAGCTACAATGCTTAACCTCAATCCCAGGAAATGCCAATGGTGGGGATCAAAGAAATTCAAGAAACACACTGCTAGCTAAAACACCATGCATCTTGTTATATAATCACTAAAATAAAGTCAAGGGCTGGGGATTTAGCTCAGCGGCACAGCACCTGCCTGTCAAGCACAAAGTCATGAGTTTGATTCCCGGTACCAGAAAAAAATAAAAAATAAAGTCAAGATGGTACATAACTTGGACCTTCGTCTTGAGTCCTACAGGAAATGGCCAAGACTTGGAAATATTCTCATTGTTCAGAGAGACTGCCACTGTAATACCTACAGATGGACCACACAATGACAGCACTTCACTACTAAGCTGTTTGCTCTTAATGTGGTCCCTGGATTAGCAACTCAGAATGTTTGGGGTCCACCTTTGATGGGCTGAGAGAAAATTTCTGAGGATGGGACCTAACTATCCAGATTTTTAAAACCCAAAATGTAAATAAAGAGCAAAGCCGGGCATGGTAGCACACACTTGTAATTCCAGCACTCTGGAGGCTGAGGCATGAGGATCGTTATCAGTTCAAGACCAGCCTCAGCTACAAAGTGAGCTCAAGGCCAGCATGAACTGCACAGTGAGACCCTGTCTCAAAAGACCAAAAAAAAAATCAAAATAAAAGATACATAGGAAGCAGGGATAGAGATCTTTCTCTGGTGGAAAGGGGAGCAAGAGACAGGAGAGGGGTGAAAAAAGAATAAAGATGCTTTATGTGCCCGTACCAACTCCAAATAAGGGATGGAAACATTATGTACTTCAAACACTGCCTAATAAATTTTTTTTCAGAAATGTATCCACGCGACTCTGGCACTATGCATGTTCCAGCACATTCTAGTTAACACAAATATATTTTGTAACAACAAATACTTACTATCATGATTTTCCTAGCCTTGTCCTCTTGCTGGTTTTCTTTGGCTTAGACGAAGCAGGCAGTGTTGATTTGCGACTGCATCCTCCCAATCCATCTCCACCCCCAGGTGGGAGGCACATCAGCGGAGCACAGAAAGTTCAAGCCGGACTATCTTTCATTTTGCTGAGGATGGAATTTCCATTACGCAGCCTGAGCCCTCAAAGAGCTCGGCTCCTGCCCGTCAGCACAGAGGCAGGGCAATACACAAGATGCTAATCTCGGGGTCTATGGCCTGTAATGCTCCCCTGACTCCAGCAAACGCCTCTCAGGGTGCCTCCCATGGCTCCTACGCAAGGTCACTGGCAAAAAAGTCAACTTGGAACATGACGGTGGAAGGCTTTTCTCCTGAAATACTATGTTCCTGGTGGAGGGCCACAGCCGGCCTTCCTGTTTTGTTTTGTTTTGTTTTGTTTTGGGTTTTTTTTTTTTTTTTGGTTTTTCTCCGGTACCAGGAACCGAACTCACGACCTTGCGCTTGCCAGGCAGGCGCTTTGCCGCTGAGCTAAATCCCCAGCCCCTGGCCTTCCATTTTTGACTGCATAGGAGAGGCAACAAAAATACAGATTTCTTGGTTGCAGCCCTCTGCTTCTGATTGATAACTATTCCACCAGGCCTTCCAAATCTGTAATTTTAATAAGTTTCCCAGGAGTTTCTTAAGCACGTCAAGTTTTGTGTGTGTGTGTGTGTGTGTGTGTTTTGTCTGTTTCTTTTTTGCCAGTACCGGGAGTCGAACTCACCACCTTGCACTTGCCGGGCAGGCGCTGTGCCGCTGGGCTAAATCCCCAGCCCAGCACGTCAAGATTGGAGGCTCCCTGATGTCATCATGAAAATGGAGATCTGAACTGGAGTTAAACCTAGCTGCCACGCACCATGTGAACCCTGCTTCCTAAAGTAGTAATAATGACACCTGCCTTGCAGGATTAGGATAGCAACCAATGCTCAAGGCCTTGGCAAAATGTCAAGTGCCATGCAGAGGGCAACTGAATCAGCAGGTGCAGGATCCCACAATTAAGGACAAGGAGCCCTCAGCCTGAAACTGCAATTCCGGAACAAGCGTTCCAGGTCAGTCTCCAATAAGGAGGCGGAAGTTAGTCTGAAAGTCTGTGTTAGGTACGCGTTGGACCGAGTGCTGCGACTCCGTATGTCAAAGTTCTATTCCTTTGTACCATGGAATGTGACCTTATTTGGACAGAGGGTCCCCACAGAGATTTCAAGTTGTAATGAAGTCATCAAGGTGACCTATATCCAACATGGCTGGTACCTGGAAAACTAGAGAGAGAAACAGACAACCTGGCAGACAGAGGATACTGCAAAGAGACAGGAAGAGGAGGGCCAGGTAGAAGCCAAGCAGAGGGGCCGGCAGCAGATTCCCCATCAAGCTCCCCAGAAGGAACCAACCCCTGGTCTTGTACTTCTGACTTCTAGGGTTATGACAATGAATTTCTGGTTTCTTTAAGCTACCACCTAGTTCGCAGAACTTCATGAGAGCGGCCCTAGCACATGAATGCAACCTGTCAGCTTCTGATTCAAGGCAAAAGTGCTTCTGTGTCTCTGGGGAGAGACAATCAGTCACCTGCTGCTGCCAGTTCTTCATCGGGTATGTTTGGAACGCTCCATATAATCACCCTACTGGATCACGCAGGGGCCAGCTTGGGGCTGAGGGCTCCACTGTACAGTCCCCAGCCTGACCAATTGTCACAAGGTGGGAGCACCATGACATCCCCAAGTTCACCGGCAAGAACCAGCGAAAGACCTGTCATCATTTGTTGACTGTCAAAAATCAACCACCCCTACCTGGTCATCTCACACTGCCTTTTCCTCCTGCTAGAAGCAGCAGCTTCGGGGCTGGGGATTTAGCTCTGCGGCACAGCACCTGCCTGGCAAGCGCAAGGTGGTGAGTTCGATTCCTGGTATCGGAAAAAAAAAAAAAAAAAAAAAAATAGAGGAAGCAGCTTGTATCACCAGCCTGGCTGAGAAGTAGTTAAATCCAGACCCCATTGCATGCTACCCTCCGCCCCTATGCAGGGACCATAAAATCACAAAAGCCCTCAAGGAGGTGACTTTCTGAAACTGCAGCTCTCCCCACGTAAGTAGGACAAAACACATTGGAAATATGCCAGGAAATTAAATTTCCCCAGAGAAAATACAAAAGGCCTTGCTACATGCATTAAAAATGGAACCCTACAGGGTCTCACTTAGTAAATGGGGGGTTGCAGGAAATCCAGGAACAAACCCTGACCAGTGGAGATGTCCTGTAGCCGAAAGGAGCCAGGTCTGTCCAGCAGGTGTGTTCTTTGCAGGGGATCTGTCCCCCAGCTGCTTTCCTCTTCCTGGCCCTCCACAGGGTACCTCTCTAGGGTGATTCCCCCGCCCCTCCCAGCCAGAGATCCAGTTCCGTGAGTCAGGCCTGGTTCAGGAACCAGCACCTCTAATCGGCTTCCCTGGGGATTCCCAAGGTTCAGTAGCACATCCCATGACACCAGGAAAGTGAGGTCAGGGCCAGCTTCACCAAGCGTCCCATGCCTCTGGGCCTTCGCTTTCTACCAGGTGGCAAAGAGACAGGGTGACCTAGAACTATCATTCAGCCTTCCCTTTCTTCTTTTTAAGGTGATAAAAATAAACTTCCCCTGAACCATGCAAAGATGTCCCACAAAGACATCTGGTTTGGGGTAAACCCAGCTGCTGTGGCTGCTCCTCAGGCTGCCACGGCTGACACCTTACCTACAGGGCACGCTCCTCTAACCCGCAAGGGAGGGTCCCCCAAGTGACAAGAGTGACAAATGCTCAGCCCGCCAAGGGGAAAATTAAGCCTCTTAAAGTGCTTCCACATAATCTCTCAAACCCTGAAAGACTTGCCTTGCATTAAACAGGGCCTAGACACAGGTGCCAAACCTTTAAGTGGGGCGACTCGAGGCAGTGCAAACAGAAAGAGAATTTTCATTTAAATACACCAAGCTCTGGGGCTCTCTAGCCTGGGTGCTGAGCGACAAGTGTGGGAGGGGCTTCGGAGCAGCCCTGCCCATCCGCAGGAATTCCTGCCTCCGGGAGCCCAAAAGCCCAAGAGAAAGACGAGTCTCCAAGCCCTCAAGTGCTCAAGTGGACTCTGGGGATGAGTGATTCACCAGAACATTAAGGTCAATGACAAACACTTCAGACAAAGCAATTCATGGTCTTCAGCCCAGCGAGGAAAGTCACCAAGTAAGTAGACTGCTTAAGTGCCCCTCTTCAGAGATAAAAATGAGAGAGGTGACTACGTCTCAGCTAGCCGTCCACTGCGGGGCCTCCCATCACTCAACGAGTGTTTACTGAGGATGAGCTTCACAGATTCAACACCTGAGCTCCTAATTCTCAGCCTGTGACCTGAAACTGCGGCACTAGGAGACCCTGCTTTCCTTCCCCAGGGTTACGCTCTTCTTAGCACCAACCTGGAAATGGTTTACCCCTCCTCGCTGGAGGTCAACATTCTATTTTTTTTTTTTTTTATTTTTTACTTTGGTGCCGGGAACTGAACTGAGGACCTTCCGCTTGCCAGGCAGGTGCTGTTCACCAGTATTTCCTGCCGAGGACTCACTATGTGCGCGCACAGTTCCAGGCACCTGGGGCTCCAGGGCGGGAGTGCTGTCCCTTCCGGAGCGTTTGCTGCAGATGCCGCGAGATGGACAGTAAATGGGTCAGAGATGGAGGTCACCGAAGGGCAAATGATGGGAAGGCAAGGGAGGAAGAGGCAGAGAGTGCAGCCGGGCGCTGCCGGCGTGGCAGTGAAGGCACATGTGACAGAGCGCCTCCAGACGCGGGAAGCCAGGAGACAAGGCCCAGAGAGGGTGAGCGGAGCAGCCAGGCGCGGAGGGAGGACCAGCAAGGGCTGTGAGGGGGGCTCTGCTGCCGCTGAGCGCGTTTTCCCTCAAGTGAAGACGCCGCAGCATGGACCTGCCAGGGGTGGCCAGCAGGGTGGACACTGCTGGCGCAGGAGTGGAAGAGGCCCCCACGCAGTGAAAGCCAAGCGGGGACGGGGGCCAGTGCTCGGAGGCTGCAGGTGCCGGGGGCCCAGCAGGTCCCAGACAGGAAGAGGATGGGAGGAGTCTCCAGCTGCACCTCCCCTCGGTGACGCAAGCCACCCCATCAGCTGGAGATGTGCAGCCAGAACAGGGTCCGGAGGGAGTGCTGTCATGGTCTTCCCCATGACAGAGAGAGACAGGGTGACCTAGAACTATTATTCAGCCTTCCCTTTCCTTTTTTTAAGGTAATAAAAAAGGGAGCGCCCTTGAGGGGCACGGATAAAAGGCAGGAGAAGGCAGATCTGTGCGTCTTCCCCAGCCAGAAGGGGGCGGGGTGAAGAGGGTGGGCTTAACCAAGAGCGGGTACTCTCAGGAAAGGGAGAAGGGAGAAAGACCAGGAACCCAAGCTGGGAACAGGAGAATGTAGGCAAGAGAAGACGAAAACGAAACTAGAAGGGCTGCCAGTTGAACACGAGCAGGGCGAAGGCTGGGTAGAAAGACGGTGGGAGGGAACCCAGGGAAAGCGTAAAGGTGCGGTCAGGCTGGGACCCCGCTCCAGGTTTTGCTGGAGATGCGGTTCTTGGTAACACCATCTACATCATGTCTGTCACACACATGATGGGTGCAGAAGACTGGGCAGTAAAAGCCGTTTAGTGGATCCCGGGTGTCATCTTTTTCTTTATTTTTAACAGGAGGAAGTAGTGTGAGAAAATACTGTACCTCATCAGGTAAATTCCACGGGGTGAAACCTTTGTTTCGGTTCTATGTGCCTCTACCAGGTCATCACAAAAGATGTACTGAGATTAGGAAAAACTTCAAATACATGAGGGTGAGGTTTCCGGTGCTCTGGACCACGTAACTTTGTTGTGGGGACTGTTCCGGGCACTGGATGTGTTCTGCAGCATCTCTCCGCCCACCAAGGGGGAGAGCTGAAAAAAATCTCTAGACAGCATCCGGTGACAGAGTCTCTGAGAGCCAGTGGCCGCGAGGCAACTGCAGAGGGATACGGCTGAAGCAGGAGCGAGGAACGGATAACTGAGGGCTGATCCAAAGCTGGAGGGGCTGGTGCACGGGCAGACAATCTGCACAGGTGTGCGAGTCACTGTCGGCGTTGGCGGGAGGAGGGACTGTGGATCGAGGCCAAAACCTTCGAAGAATAAGGCAAGGTGACCGGGAGGACTGTGACCACTGGTCCTCTATCCAAGCCGATGCCCAGGCCCCACTGAAAACCAGCTACAGATGGCTCCAACGTGGAACCGGGTCAGGAACACTGCAGAAGAAAACCACCCTGCACAGCCTGAGACCTCACACACCACCTCCTCCATAAACACGTCCCTCCTAGCTGGCTTCCGCTCCGTCCTCCCACGATCCTTCTCCATCATACTGTGCTTCACACTGACTGTGAAATCACCGGAACAGAATAAAAGGCTCTAACACCAAGTGGCTAAAAGCAGAACAAGGGTTTGTCTGCTGAAGAGTTTTAGAGTGGGGATTAGTGAGCAGGGAAGGCTTTGGGCAAACTTCCTCCTGAGCTGGGGGTCAGCCAAGTCTGTCAAGGATTCATGACAAGTAAAGGTCCCCGAGGACAACCAAGCCCCGAAAGTGTGGCTGAGGACCGCTGCGAGGACCGTAAGCCCTTCGGTGGCACTGTGATAAACACTCGTTGAGGTTAATCGCTCTTATGCTTAATTTCCTACAAAAATGGCACCAAGCATCTGATTCTAGCACAGCTTAAGTCACAATTACCACCTGTTCACCATTTTATTTTCAACACCCCCTCACATGTAACCAATCTTTTATTTTTAAAAAAACTGACAGCATCAAATCTTGAATCTATATATACGATGGGAATAAAAAAGAATCCATCTCTAATAGCCCTCTCCTCTTTCTCATGAGAATATATTTTAGAATATTTAAAACAGTACTTTTTTTTTGGTCTTTTTGAGACAGAGTTTTACTGAGCAGTTCAGGCTGGCCTTGAACTCGCCCGGAAGCCCAGGCTGGCCTCAAACTTGCAACGATCCTCCTGCCTCAGCCTCCTACGCACTACGATTACAGGCGTGTCCCACCATGCCCGGCCTTTAAAATAATACTTTAACATTTACTGCTGTTTAAACTCACAGGGATCTATAACATATCACTAAATTCTCAAAAAACAGACAAGTAAAGCAACACAGATACGTATTTTTTTTTCCTAGCTTGGTGACTGACACGCTGTACTTGCTTTGATTGAGATTCTAATTTTCCTGTATACGGAGATAAAGGACTAGCCGGATATCACGTGATCTGCAGAGGTTAGCTGGTTGCTCTAAGGAGTGGTTCTCAAACACAGTACTCAACCAGCAAGATTGGTCTCACCCGAGAACCTGTTTAAAATGCAAATTATTGGACCTAAACCTTAGACAACCTGAAACTGCAGACCGACAAACTGGGTTTCAACAATCCCTATCCCTGGGCTTCCTACTGATGCATATAAATTTGAAATCCAACAATTTAACCTCAAGCACAATTCTTAAACTGCACAGCCAGGGCTTCTCCTGGGTTGATATTCTGGATCCCCACCCCACCCCCATCAACAGGGCCACACAAGCTGGGTGTGGCAGGGCACGCCTGTAATCCCAGCACTCAGGAGACTGAGGCAGGAGGATTGCCATAAATTCGAGGCCAGCCTGGGCTACACAGTTAGTTCAGGGGCAGCCTGAACTATACAGCAAGACCGCATTTGAAAAAAACAAAAACAAACAAAATCAGGGTTAGGCTGTATGGACTTTGAAAAATGTGGGTAGAGCTCCACAGCTCTCACAAGTCTGGTTTCCACTAACCGCCAAGAATTCATCAGTTCCATGGAGATGTCACAAACCACACGAAGGCGCAGGGCTGAAAAGTGGGACAAGGGTAGCAATGGGCCAAGCCGGGGCCAGCGTGGAAAGAGACAGGGGTTTAGCTGACTGGCAGCCATGCGGCAGCACCCCTCCGGTCCTCAGGCAGGGGTCAGATGTGAAGAGGTCAGCCGCTACCTAAGGAGAGTTCTCCCGGAGCTGCTCCAGGGGCCACACTCCCTTCCCTCGGGCCTGGTTGCAGGCTAAGCGGGGGGCGGGGCAGCCTTGCCAGAAACTCTCCTCCCCACTCATGGCTACGTCCTCTGCCACAAGTTGGGAAATCTCAGAGCTTTAATTTTTTTTTTTTTTTTTTTTTTTTTTGAGACAGGGTCTTGCTATGCAGTTCAGGGTGGCCTTGGGCTCACTTTGTAGCCCAGGCTGGTCTCGAACTCACAAGGATCCTCCTGCCTCCGCCTCCCCGAGGGCTGGGATTACAGGCGTGTTTCACCATGCCCAGCGAAATCTCAGAATTTTTGAAGGTAATTAATTGAAAATTTCCAAAGAAATAAGAGATGGCTACAGAAGGCATCCGAGAAAGTAAGTGTGATTATTTTTCAGCCGTTTCCAAAATGGTGCCTGGTGATCTTCCTACTCATTAACGGAATGACTTGTAAAATTGTCTGGAGGTTAGTGATCTCCGCGTTGCCAATTTTAAACACTATTGAGTAGTGTGTGTCCTTCCACATCTTTTCCCAAGGTCATACACATACAGGCCCTCTTGCTTCAAATCAGAAATAGAATCAAACTATATACAATACACTGCAGTTAGTTTTTATTTCACATATAATTTTTATTTAACATATCATGGGCAACCCTCACAAAACAATCCACAGAATTCACGTAATAATCCAAGTCATCATCTCACAATAAACATCCTCAGACAGAGAACGGGGTTGTGGCTCAGTGGCAGACAGCCTGCCTGGCTTGGATGCAACTCCAGGACTGGGGGGGAAAAAAATCCTCACACACATCCTATGTGCCAATGTTTTTATTTTTGATCAGCAGGACTCCAATTGTGGGATCCAATTGTAGGATCCAAGGTGGGATTGCTGGTCACGCGGCCAGGAGGGCTCCCAGCTGTCAGAGGAGCCTGAGCCTGCCCCTAAGGTTGTCACGATGCACACATCCACCCATAGAGTCTGAGATCCGCACACACACACTTAACAGGGGACATTACCAAACTTTACAAGATGTGCCCTTTGTACAGAAATCAATACTACTTCGCCTTTACATTTCCATCTCTGTGTTAGGTTGAGAATCTTCTCATGTGTGCTCATCTGCTGCTTCCTGTTTCACATACCCTTTAGTCACGCTCACTCCCCCAGGCCAGCAGATACACAAAGCACAACAGTACTGTGCTCGGGGGACAGTGTGTGGGGTGAGGACCGAGAATGTCTCAGCACTGGGACACCCTAGTCCCTCAAGAACATTTGCTGCTAGGTGAATGGCGGGCATACGGAATTTTGTTTGTTAAAACTGCAGCTACAAGGGTAAAAAGGAAAAAAAAAAAATGTTCATTACTTGTTCTACATTTTCAGAACAGCAACAGTTTGGCCACAATTAAATTGTTGGTTAAGAGAAAAACAAAACCATGGTCTTGGCACTGACTCTGAAAATCCGCTGTGAAATGGGAGGCACATGTGCCCGGTCCAGATTCGCAGCGCTGGGTGACCCATAAAGAAAGGCCCTCACGACCCAAGTATTTTGTACTCAGCCTTGTCCACCAGCTGCCAAGCGGCACCCGCCGCTGAGCCGGAGGTCGCCAGGATGCTAAAGCGACCAGGGAGGCCTGCCGTAAGCGCGCCTTTCTCTCTTGGTTTTTTTTCCTGCCGCCCGCCAAGACTTTCTTGCCTTTCATAATTGCAGCTTATTAGGGTGTGTGGTGGGGGATGCAGGGGAATTTGGCAGAGTTCAAATTCTTTAACTCTTTCAACTTTAGGGAAAACATCTGGTTATACCCACCATTTATCCCATTATTTGTAATAGTTCTGTTTGGCTTATGTTTTAACTAGTCTCCTTATTAAATATAAAAGCAATAGGATTAAAAAGTTCTGGGGGGAAGTACTATAATTAAAAAGGCACCAGTTGGGTATGTTAAGCTATAATTCTGGCCTGTATATATTTTTCTTCTGGTCTTTAAAGGGTTTTTTTTTTTTTTTTTGTACCCAATAAAACTGTTTTTGAATTATTTAACTCTTTTTTAGTACTTCCTGTATTAGCCAAGCACCACCCAAAATCCCCAGGAACACATTATGACTCAAAAGTTCTGCAGTAATACGGTCACAAGTCACAAACCAGAGGCACTGGCCCAAAAGTCTGGCCCTGGAACACACATACACCACACAACCTGGTACACTGACAACCTCCCAAAATGCATAGACAACCTTCCAAAATGCATAGACATTTTCTAACCTTTTGAAGTTACAAAATCTTAATAGTGAAAAAAAAATGCAGGAACTTTAATCAAGCCATAAAGTTATAATAGTAAGAATCAGGCAAGAGGCAACAAAGCACAGTTAGAACACACTGTTAAGAGGCATAACAATAAATATTGAGAGAGTGAACTTGGGAATGAAGACTGGAGGGTCTGCAACATAACTTCTCTTTTAATTACATAATCTTTGACACATGCACAAAAATATATATGGCATATATGCAGTTATAAAGTGCAATGATAAACAAACATTTTAAGTATGCAGATACTGTGAACATTTGATTTAACAAATTTTGCTGGGTGTGGTGGCGCACACCTGTAATCCCAGCACTCAGGAGGCTGAGGCAGGAGGATCACTGCGAGTTTGAGACCAGCCTGGGCTAGAAAGTGAGCTCAAGGCCAGCCTGAACTGCATAGTGAGACCCTGTCTCAAAAAGACAAAAGAAAAAAAATTTTATATTCTTCCCCATGGAGAACCACCCTGAACTCCCCTTGGGAATTAATGATGAAAGGACAGCATCAAAAGGTTCAGGAAGGGGGAATCCATGTAATTTAGGGATAGAAAAGAAAGAACCTGGAGTAGAAAATAACAGACACACTCAGGGAACAGTCTTTACAAAAAAACCTGAACAAGCAGTTGGCCGAAGATGAACTCAAAACACACCTGTAACCTATGCCTGCACTAAGTATGCCGGTAACTCAGTATTCTGAAGGGTCAAGTTTTTAAAAGTTAACTTCCCCTTTGGAGGTAAAAGTGCAACATCGATGCCGAAAGGATAGCCTGGCAATTTCCGAGTGTTCTGTAGATAAATGGAAGCGGGTACCAAGCGAGGGGAACAGCCTGAGGAGCCCTTTTTTGTGTGCTTCCTTGCATCACCTAGCCAAAGACTGGAAATTTCACAAAAGGGATGGAGGCTTTCGGCAACTATTTCCTCACCTGAATTAGCTATGCCAGTTTTGAAGAAATGTTGTCTTAGTGTTTCCACTACCTAATGCTCAATTAAAAAAAAAAAAAAGTCAGGGGTGGTGGCACCTGCTTGTAATTCCAGCGGTCAGGAGACTGAGGCAAGAGAGTTGCCTAGTCGAGAGTTAGGGAGGCCAGCCTGTGCTACATAGTGAGTTCAAGGCCAGCCTCAACTACATAGCAAGACCTTGTCTCAAAACAACAGAACAGCTGAGTGTGGTGGCCCATGCCCAGGATCCCAACAATCTGGGAGGCTGAGGCAGGAAGACAGCTATTTCAAGCCCAGCCCCGGCAACTTCAGTGACCTGATGAGACCCTGCCCCCAAAACAAAAAAGTGTTTAAAGGGCTGGCCATCGAGGTCAGTGTGAAAGCCCCGGGTTCAATCCCCAGTACAGAGCGAGGTCTTCCTCCTCTCTCAGCGTCACCCGTCACCCGCTGCACCCACCATTACGCCTCAGTTTTTGCCAAAATGTGCCAAGTGAGCCCTCAAAGAAGCTACAATCTTGGAGACTGAGCGGGTGACATTCATACTGGAGGCAAGAAACGAAAGGAAGCAGCAGCTCGGTGCCTAACATCTCAGAGACGACTTTGCCCTCCCTCCGCACACAGACACTCCCGCACCCACCTCCCCAGGATTTTTAAATCCTTCCCATCCTCTCCAACGATGAAGACTGTTTCATTAAGAGAAGGAAAAAAAAAAAAAAAAAGCCAAAAAGAAAGTGTTGCACATCCTGGCATTCAGCTGATAGTAGATGGACAAACGCGCCCTCCCCAGCCCCTGCAGCACGCAGAGGTTACGCTCCATCTACAAAAGTAAAGACGCCACAAACACAGATCCCCGCCGCCCCACTCCCGGGAAGTCGCCGCCTCCCAGCCTTGGAGAGGGCCGGGTGGCACGCGCAGGCTGACAGCCGCCACTCAGCGAGCCCAGGGACGTGAGGGAGCAAAAGCGCCACGCAGGGCACCAGGCCGCTTGGAGACTATTCGGGGGTCCTCTTCTCCAGGAGAGCTCCCCACGCTCCGGTCTTTAATTACGTCTTCGAGGACAACGCTCCGGCTCATTCCTCGCTCCTCTTGGGAAATAACCAGGGCTTCGCGTTCACCACCAGGGTCAGCGATCCTGACCCAACCTCCCCGCCCCAAGTCATCCCGGCTCTTCCCCCGCAGCAGGAACGCAAGTTTCCCCCGTGCCCCGCGAAGCCCCACGTTCTGGAGACGCCTCCCTTTCCTCGCCCCACTAGCGGGCATCGCGGTGAGAGCCGAGCCCGCAGCCGCCACGGCCAGGCCCTCGCCGGGGCGCGCAGGCCGG